GCCTGATGCAGTCTGGAAGAAACCTAGCTGGAACTGCCACTAATAAACTAGAATTTCTGACACAGGCCACATAATTTTTTTAGGAGAAGAGACAATCCAACTATTCAGCTAGCCTTTCAAGTTATTGAAGCTTATAACATCAAAACATAAAAGAACCTAGGCTGCTAATTGGCTGTTCCATATCTTTAAACTACTTTAGGAATACATGCGGACAATTGTTGATTTGCTTCGTCATGTCGACCGTGATAAGATCACACTGATGATGGAATCTGGTACGAAATCTGTTCCTCATAGAAATTTCTTTAAATGGCGCAGGTTAATGTTAAAGAAAAAACTGAGCAAGAAGCATATGCGGCTTTAAATTTGCGTTTCGTTTCAATATATTTTGCTCAGTTATCTTATTATCTCTCAAATTATTGAGATATTTTGGTACAAGCATTGAGCAACACTTGTATGCTCTGAGACCTCACTCGTTTTCTTCAGTGCATGTGAGAACTTCTCTATAGCTCCTATTCACCGTAGAGACGTGTGCAACAATGGGTTTCCGATCACTTCCGAAACAGATTTTTGACTTATCTACTTTCTTGTTTTTTTATTAATGATAGTTGGATGAATCATCGTGTAGAATAACGTTGACATGCTCGCTAGCACAATTTGGCACTAATACACGAAAATTATTACATGTATACGAAAAGTAGAGCTAGTACAGCAAGCCGTCAGAGTTACTCTCCAATACATCCGTATTCGTTGGTTCGATCACGGCTAAGCCGTCTTGGGTGAAAAAATTGGTATAAAACACATACCGGAGGGTAAAATGGAGGTGACTATTTCTATCGACAGACCCATTGCAAGCCACTGTGTTGGCCGAATAGAAATTTAATCACCTGCGCGTTGCTCGGTGAAGTCGAAAAAATGGGACATTGCTGATAGGTTGATAAACGCCGAGCGCTTAATCGTCCATCTTTTTATTCGAGAGATATAAATGAATCTGTCTTCTATTCCTTACTCTGCATGAACATTCCAGATTATTTATGATGACCAACTTACGTTAGGCTGGTGATGACTGGCATGTGAGTTTAGGTGCGTTCTCCCTCTTCCCAAAGCTTCTCTCAACGTCAGATTTGGAGCTAACCAGAGCAGCCTTGGAAGCGATGAATTCGCTATTACCTGATTATCCGGAACATGCTCTCTATGTTTACCGTACAAAGATGTTGGATCTGGTGAAACCGAGTCTCCTTGAAAAAGATGTTGATCTACAGGTAGTAATATCAGACTGGTAGTTGATCGTTCGAATCGGCGACGATCGTTGATCGTTTGATTCTTGGTGATATCAAATATAATAGATGTTTTTAGGAGTTGAAAGACGAGGTTAAGGCTTTCGTAGATGCCAAAGCAAGATTTTCTCCACGATGAACCTTTACAATTATAAATTGAAGTAATGTTTTCAATTTGTTAAAAGAGTTCAATAAAAATAGCCATTGAAAGCACTGTCAAACTGTGAAGAATAAGGACATTTGGGTTTATGGTTCTTATGATTTTGAAGCGGCTGTGGAGAAAAGATAAACTGCACGTCCTTTAAAAGTTGTCCCTTTTAAGGTTACAGTATGTCACACAGTTCTCTTTTGCGTTGTTCCCAATTTTTCCTCTCGGAATTTATTCATTCATCGAGCGAAGTTGTTCGTTCGAGAGCCGACCTTTCTTCTAAGAATTCAAGATGTTATTTGTGAAGACAAAAGAAAGAAACCAATCTCAGAGCACGGAAAGAATCTCTTGTAACATTTGAGTATAACTGTGGTTTTGGCTATTTTAGTAGCAATCGAATTAACGGCCCGTCTAGTTTTTCAATGAAGAGCCACAGAGCTTCGATGTGAGATTTCTCACTTTCTTGCGACCGTTTTTAGTAAGAAATTTGCTTCCCATGGTCTTGATATTAACTAGTAGTGCGAGTTGGGTATAAATCGCGGTTAGGAGTCTGTGTTTCCATGGAAATCGCCTTGGTTTATAAGAGCCACTAAGATAAGATATAGGTATAAGAGCACACGCCACGGTGTTCCTTTAATAAAGCTGCCTTCGGTTGTAACGTTCTTCTACTAATTAAAACAATACAAGTCCAACTATGTAGTCTTAGCAAAGTGCTAGTGAATACGCCATGAAAGAAACTGGAAAAAACTGCTGGATTTTGCAAGCTCTAGGCGTTGATCAAATTTTTGGGAATACACCATGCACTCGCCTTCACTGACCACCGTTTGAGGTGACTGATCGTATATGTCGCCTCTACAATGACTGGAGATGCCTTATCGCCTCATCAAGTCAGTGTCTTTAATCCTTTTATACAAGGCCGACGCTCGTTTCCTTCTGATCGACTCTGGAGCCAAGCCGTTCATCGCGATTTCCTGACCTAGATAGATATAACCGGAGCATTCGGAGATATTCGTTCCGTTGAGCGTGAATGGAGCACGCGAAACCAATCCGTTCTTCATGAACATCGTTTCTGCGAGATTTAATCGAAGACCAAACCTTCCACAGGCTTTATCAAAGTCTGCAAGCATATGTTCCGCTTGGCTAATGTTTAGTGTTATAAGGACGATGTCACCAGCAAAGCGAAGATGGTGTAACTGCCAACCATCGATTTTCACTCCCATATTATCCCATTCCAATGTTCGCATGACGTTCTCGAAGGTGGCGGTAAATAATTTTGGCTAGATGGTATCGCTTTGCCTAACCTCTCTTTTGCCGTAAGTGTTAATATCGTTGTAGAATGGTGATATCCTGGTTGCGAAATTTTTGTACAGCCCACGAAGAATCTTTATGTGTTGAGCAAGGACTCCCTGCGTATTAAGGGCCTCCATGACTGCTTCTATCTCAGTTGAGTAAAAGCGTTTTTTAAATCGATGAAAGTGAGACGGAGCGGTCCTTTGCACTTTCGCGATACTTCAGTGAGTCTTAATGTCGTGCGGGTGTGGTCCGTGGTACTAAATCCTTTGCAAAACCCTGCTTGCTCACATGGATACCGTTCGTCCAGTGTTCTGCCCATCCTCTTTAGGATGACTCTAGTAAAAAGTTTGTAGATGACAGACAGCAAGCAAATTGGGCAATAGTAGTGGAGATCACCCTTCTCGAACATTAGCACAATCTTGCTGGTTACCCATTGACTAGAGACCTTGCATTCAGACAGGTAACGTGTGAAGAGCCGAGTCAGTGTGTTTACGAGGACTGGCGGAAGGTTCTTCAAGTGTTCAAATCTTATTCTGTCGGAATCTGGAGCTGTTCGATTTTTCACCGACGAAATGGCATGTCGGATTTAGGAATGGAGAGCCGGTGGCACAACATATTCATTTTCCTCCTTTGTTTCATATGACAGAAAGTGGACGTGGCTATCGAAGAGATTTGAGTAGTGATCGTGAGCGATTTTCTCCACTACCTTTCTAGACGCTGTAACTGTTCCGTCTGGGCGTCAGCGTGCAATCATCTTGGTCTTGTAATTGGCGAAGCATCGGTGGGCTTTGCGAATGCTTTTCCCAACCTCTGTAGCCTCGACCATTACTGTTGCTCTTCTCCCTTTAAGATCTTCTTTTATCGCCTGTTTGCATTGCTTTCCAAGTTCGGACGTTAGTTCGCGGTTGTCGGCAGCTCGTGCGATTCCATGATGGCGTATCACCTCGAGTGTTCCTGGAGAGAGACGTCTCTTGGTGACTTTCGAACTCTCAGCGTTCATAGCGCTAGCGTTAAAATGTTGAATGAGCCGATTATAGTAACTAATCGTTAAATAGTTTCTATTCTCTAGAATATCACATGTCCCCTATACTAACTATTTACTTATAACTATCATAAATCTTAACCCTTTTATTTGCTGCCTTTTTCTTCTTAATGGCAGGGCATGTTGCGAAATATAACTCGTATATAATGCTGAGACCCGGTTGGTGTGGTGGTGAACGCGTTATTCCCCGGAAAGGACAATAGCGCACGTTCGTTTCCCACCGCACACACCTGCGGTCTGGAGTTTTGCAAATATCTCAGCATTATATACGAGTTATCATAAATCTATCCATTCATATTGTATAGGTCTTTATACCGTTTCGATAGAAGCTTCTGGCATGCCGCCTCATTTGATGTGCTTCTCTGCAAGTACCGTGTCATGCCCTGGGTAAGCACTGCCTCTGACTCCCTCTGTGAAGCCTCACCCATTGCGGACAGAATGTAAGGTGTACCAGCAGCTATAGAAACTAGTGTGTGTGTGTCTTCCAATGTACCAGTGCCTGGGTTCCAACGCTCTGAGCTCGTCCTCCAATCTTCCAGTGTTCATTCATTCCCTCAGTTCCTCAGTGCTCCAACTCCAGTGTCCGCCTAGCTTCCTTCAATTGTATCACTTGTTCTGATTTCAATCTCGCTCATATCCATCCAGTTAGCCACATATCGTCACATATTACATATTATTATTGTGCCATTCTTATTGCTATAAACTGTTATAACCCAGAATCGAACATGTTCACGGCAATCACGGAGAAAAAGTTCCGCGTGGCTAATTCATGCAAAGTCGAGCATTCCACGTACAGTTGGCGGACAAAAGACAAATCCGACCAACTGCCTCATCCACTGGCCAACTAGCACACCGATCGTATTTCTCGTCGATGTTATCGACAAAGGTAACTTCCTAACAGCCCAATAATGAATTGAATAAGTCCCAGTTTATAGTGGTTCTGTGACTTGGGTTTTGGAATATAGCGGCTTTTTCTCCTTTCCGCGAGAAATAGAATCTTGCACGAAGGAGACGATGGTCTGATCCCGTGTAGAATTTTGGGACAAAACCGACATCGGTTAGGCGGAACCTTCTATTTACTACGATGTGGTCTATTTCGTTATGGTGCTCTCCATTGGGAGGCTCCCACGTCCAGCGCTGAGGATGGGGCTTCTGGAACTGCGAGTGACCACGGATTGTCTCGGCCACCATGATAAACTCAGAGAGCCGCTCACCCTGTCCGTTCCCATCTAATCCGTGAGTCCTATAGTAAGGTTCGTATTGGTCCAATCTTGGCAATAATATCTGCAATGATGACTTTGAAAAATGTATGGTCTTCGCTGTAGAACTTCTTCAAGTCCACATAGAACGCTTCGAGCTCTTTGCTGCCATAGTTTGATGTCGGCGCGTAAACGACGAAGATTGTGAAAACCGGACTTGATCCACATCTTTTTAATCGTAGAGGTTCGATTCGGGTTGTCAGTTGTTCGAATGAATCGATGTTCATAGACAAAATCGTGTTGACGAGAACACCGACGCCGCTGACTCCTCTACTGTCGTATGTTCCGAGGAATAGTTCTTCACCGGTGTCATAGGCCGCGTTGAATAGGTGGCGTCGTCTCGTCTCGGCCAGGCCGATGACGTCGTATCTTATCCTTCTTGCATGTATGAGCAAGTCTTTTATCGAGTACTCGGTTGCAAGTGCACGTTCATTTTTAGTACAGATCGTCAGCTTATTTTTTTGCAAACCAGACAGCTTCCATTTTCCCTGAGATTTCAACAGCCTCTCTGCACTCCTCCTACCCAACGCTGCCGAATTGGAGGGTCTTTCGGGGTAAGAAAAATAAGGCCCGTTTCTTTTACTGTTTTTTGCCCTTCGATACCCAGGTATAGCTTGCTGAGCTGCACGATGTGCGCAATGATGTATGTCCGGAAGAAATACAAGTTGTTACCACCGGACATTGTCATTATATATCCACCATCAGCATCGTGTATAGACGAACAACAAGCATGGACCATCGACTCGGATCACCGGCTCTGAGGGAGACGAAGACGTCGAAACGTTAGCCGAAAATAAATATATTTATCAACCTCGTGCAAGCTTATCAAGAAAGAATACATATTAAAAACAATTAGAGCCCACAAGTTTTGCCAATGACAGAAACAGGTTCGCCCAGAGTGGTTGCACAAAATTCTGGATCTATGGAAGCGATGAAATCGTTCAAATCGGTTCCGACTTCTGCTTGGTTTCTGAAGCAGTTCTCACATAGGAATTTACCAGAATACTTGAAGAAGTAGTCGACATTAGACAGGAAGTTCGGCGAGCATTGTGGGTAAGGCAGGGATTCGTAGCACTGGTCGCTCAACCTTGGAAGCGCCGATGGTGGGACCGCTTGGCCGTGCGTTTTTGTGGAGAAGTGTTGGCTCCTTTCTGTTGTTCTATGCGGTGCACGGCCGTTCAAGCTTCTAATTCACTTCATCGACTCGGCGGACGTATTTCTCACCCATATTCGTTTCACTCGGATTCAGGAAGCTTTTATGAGTTAGACCAACCATAGATAACGAAACGATCAGCATGACCTCATTTTAATGCAATTTCGGCATTGCGAATTGCAGCAGAGTTTCATCATGTCCCAACCACTTAGCGACCGTCGCCGGTTATCATAGAAGAAGCATTTCTCGTTGCGATTCACGCTACAGTCAATAAACAATTCATTCTGGTTGCACAGAAAATGCGCCAAGGATCTCTCAAAAAGGCGATTTCATGGAAGGTCTCTGAACTCGAATGACACCCGTCTCTCTAGTTTCTTCCACGCTCTGATCATCTTTAGATGATATGAAACAGTTAATAGACTCACAATGTGTTTTTGTGAAAGTATTCGAACAGTCGTTCACGTATTTACTTTGGAGAAGTCTTCAATTCATCGTCGTCAATAGTAAAAGACTTCTTGGTCATCCTACTCCTCGGCCTGGAATAACTGCGATGAGATTTTCAAAGCATACTGCGAGCTCTCCATTCTTTTGCTCCTCATCTAATTAATGTTTCGAAGAGTTTGCGCTGCACAATGAGAGAGTTTAACATCGTAAAAGTAAATTAGTTGATTTCGTTGTTGTGACACCTCAGTTTATAACTCGTGAAGTTTTTCAGAAACACAATTCGTACCACAGTTGTAGTAGTCATACGTTTCAAAAAAATCTATTGCTAAGCCACATAAAATTTTTATTTTTTTATTTTATTTTATTTAATCCGTCTTCACGTCTACTGTGCGGATCCCAGTGCTTCTCACATTCGATTCGTTTCCTTGCAACCATTGTCCACGAATATCTTCCAACGTTTACGTGTAGCTTCGGTTGCTGCTTGAGGAAATAACTGGGTTGGTGTGGTCCTAATTGGATTACAGAGAGTGATTTTTTCCTAGACAAGTCCGGCACCCCGACCCCGGAGGGATGAGATGCTTGCTTTGCTCGGAGCAAGCAACTAGCACCATGCTCACGATATCACTACCACAGTGCTATCGACCCCGCTCCCACTCCCACCCCTAGCCACATAAAAGGAAAATGAAATTGCAAATCCTGCACTAATTTTCGAGCAACCTAGTAGTTTTCCCTACTGCTTCATTTTCACTTTTACGCATAGTTTTACAAAAGGCATAATTAGAAATGCTGTTCCTTAAAGAAGAATACCACTTCCATATCACACTTTAAAATAGAGAAAATACTACATTAGCTTTCATTAATAAATGATTATACATTTCTGATCCCTCATAACTACTGGAGGGTGCATGTGACGCAGTGATGGGAGGCGTCTTGCAACACACACATGGGATCGTTCCCTGCGACCATGGCCCAACAAGCCTTCCATTCTTCCGGGGTCGGCAAATTGGTACCAGATTTGTCTAGGAGGATAGCAGCACTGGCTCGATATATCGATAGGCCACCGCGCGTCATTGTTGATATGCATTCAATCACCTCCAAACGATGCTTGATGAAGTCGAATGCATGGGATTGATCAACACCGGAGCTTTATCCTTTTTTTAATAGCTACTGGTTCTTCGGTAGCAGCGAATGTGGCTGTGGGGAATAATTTTCAATCACGTACATGCAATGGAATATTTCTATGAATTAATATATCTAGGACCAACATTTTGGAGTTCACTGTGAATAAAAAAAAACAAATGTACAGGACGGAGAGACATGTCATAGAACCTAATAAGTGTTGCCGAGATAACATGCTCGAGATGAGTGATGAAATAATCAACTCTTTAAATGAGGACTAATAGACGATGAGGAGAATGTAGGAAGGCATTTCTTAGCCAATAATTGGTATGTTAGTCTTCCTTGGCCGAGAACTTAGTTACGGGAAGAGCAGATCTCGTATCTGTGGGAAAAACAAGACTTCCCAAACAGTCCATCTAATTGATGGTAAAGAGAGAACGGTGGGCAACAAAATGTCTTTTTTCTAATTCTAATGTTGAATTGGTTAGTTAAGAGGGACATTATCTTGATGCCCAAATTTAAAGACGAGACCCCTTCCAACAATTCATTAACGCCGTACTTTATTTAAGTTGCAACAGGAAAAGCTTTTCGCATCCAACCGTGCGGAAGACTTACACTGCTTGCGGTCTGTTGGGAGCGGAGGAGATTCCAAGCCATTACCACCAAATTTTTTTTATGGAGTCGGTTCCAATGTGCCGATAACATGGAACAGATGCCCATGATATCACAAGGTTATTTCAAGGCACTATGATTAAAGAACGCAGCAGAAAATGTTGAACAAGTTGGCGCTGGATGCAATAGTTATAGGAAACATTTCCCTAGAATTCTTAAGTAAGAGCCATAAAATCTGTCCATTTTTCATGAAGATTTTCTAAGTTTAAGGTACAAATGTTTCAAAAAAGTTGTTTTTGTGTAGGATATGCAAAATTTATGTTTATATAGATTGTATATTTTAAAATGAGTGGTACAGGAACAGGCGATAGATGGACGAAAAAAACAGTGGAGCAGTCCCCAAAAGAATGCAAGCGCTCTCTTGAACGATCCCCAAACAATGGGCCGATTTGTTTAAGACTAAAGTCAACTACTTGGTTTTCTTCGTATTTTTGTTGAGCAAACGCGAGGTGTTACTATTCTTTGTTCACTATTAAGCTGACGTTTCGGCGGATTTCGCCTTCTTCAGAGCCTGGAAAGGTCAAGTTGTATACTGCCCTATATCACGCGTGATAATGAGGCATTCTTCCCTGCGGTTCATTTTCGGATTTCTGAAATTAATCCAGAGTGCCTCGAGAGTTTTTCGCACGTGTGTTCTTGATTCGTGTGCGAGGATCGTGACACATTCTTCAAAGTCCTCCCCGTTATGTCTCTGGGTCCTATGCGTGATTAGCGGGGTATTTGGTCTATGTTTGCCGGCTAGGTGTTCTTTCATGCGGACACAGAGGGGTCTATCCGTTTCGCCAATGTATTCGTCTCCGCACGCATTACAGGAGATCAGATAAACTACACCCGAGCTCATGCAATCACCGTCTCTACCACTGGGGCAAATTATGCAATTTTGAGTTGCACATAGACGGTTATATAGGCGGTTACGAACTAGCTGGCGCTTAAGATTACTCGGTGGTATTTCAACTACGCTCACCGAATTCTCTAAACCCGCCCTTCTTAAGCAGCGTTTTATAGCTGTACTTATATCATTTGAGATGAAGGGTAGGATAAACGGGACCCTTCTATCTCTAGAGTTGTCGTTTGCCATTTTCTGATAGGTGAATTTGTACGTTCAAAAATGGAAGCCATTTTTCTTTCGGCTTTTCTCGGGTGAACTTGAT